GATCAAGGGTTCTATTCCCCTCGATGAACACAGCAGATAGCCTGATGTGGGCTTGCTCTAAGAAAACACACACACTCTTAACTTGCCCCCCCCCCCCCCCCACGTGGCACAGCGGTATTTCTACGGACTTACGGACTTACAAAGCTAAAAACCGGGTTTCAGTGCCCGTGGTGGGCGGTAAAATATTCAACAGGGATAATGCTAGTTGGCATGTACTTCATCTTATAATTTTGAAAACATAACTACAGAACGTCCATCTTCGTTTTCCGAAAGAAGTGGCTTATTGGATTTTCAGCTTAAAATATAAAATTAACCGTTTGGATAAGTTTACATTATAAAACGTACTAAGAAGATTTCCTTGTATTCTTTTTGATATTAAACTGAATCTTTCTAATGAATGTATTTAGAACACATGGAGACGGAATGTATGATTCGGGATCCAATAGAAATTCATCCTTTCGCTTTCCGGACACACACTCACCAATTGGGTAAGTATCTGGTAACACGTGTAAACTCGAAGCTTAGTAATATCACACATATATATGTTCATAAGGCTCGGCATGGCCAGGTGGTTAGGGCGCTCGACTCGCAATCTGAGGGTTGCGGGTTCGAATCCCCGTCCCGCCAAACTTGCTCGCCTTTTCAGCCGTGGGGGCGTTATAATGTGACGGCCAATCCCACTATTCGTTGGTAAAAGAGTAGCCCAAGAGTTGGCGGTGGGTGGTGAGGACTAGCTGCCTTCCCTCTAGTCTTACACTGCTAAATTAGGGACGGCTATCGCAGATAGGCCCCGTGTAGCTTTGCGCGAAATTCAAAAACAAACAAATATATGTTCACATTTAGTTTCAAGCTGTTATGTAATGTGCACTATATTATTATATATAAATGCTCAGTACTTTAACTCACGTCCTTTCTCACGTACAGTGAGAACTTCTATTGGACATACTTTATAAATATACTTAAATTTGTGGTTTGGTCAACTTTCCTAAGTACCTATCCAGTAATGCTAAAAATTGGAATGAAACTAACGTTTCTTGTTTGTTTTTCCTGTGAAAGTAATGATAAACACATATGATTTCCCCCAAGAATGATAAAATGTGCTGACAGACGGAGGTCTGACAGAAATTCTATTATAGGGTAAGTCTGAACGCTCTAGCTTTGATTGACTTTTAAGAGACTGGACACAATGTGTGACAAAAAGAAATAATATTTAACACTCAAAAACAATCAATGTTTGTACTGACTAAGGAAAGTACCTTTATTGAAGAGAGTCCTCCAAGTATCTATTAAGAAGTTGAAGGAGTTAATCAAGAAGTTGTTCCAGACTGAGAAAAACATAGCATTATATACAGAAAACAATATTAATAGTCTTCCCAGGCTTCATGCGCTACCCACACGACTGATGGTCACTTTCATTGCAAAATAAGGGAGTTTTTTCCATGATGGGGCACTCGACCCACCAATGGAAAAGACTACTGACTACTTTCACATTGTATGTATAACTTTACAGGAATATTTCTCCCGAGAAGACAAAGGTGATACCTTAGGTGAATGACCAAGAACTATAGGTAACTAGGTCGGAAGGAATTTATTTAAAACTACGTATACTTGAAAACTTTGAAAAGTTTCTATATTAAAACACGTGATATGCTTGCTTACCACAAAAAAACTAAACAAACACACACAGATAAATGCAAATAACACTAACTACTAGAGTGAATTTTGCTAAATACTAATGGATTCTTTTCATCCTGTTCCCACCCCCCCTCCTCAGTGGTATGTCTGCGGATTTACAACGCTAGAAACAAGGTGGTGGACAGAGCACAGATAGCCTATTGTGTAATTTTGTGCTTAACTTCAAACAAACAAACTGAAACAAGATGGTGGACAGAGCACAGATAGCCCATTGTGTAGTTTTGTGCTTAACTTCAAACAAACAAACTGAAACAAGGTGGTGGACAGAGCACAGATAGACTATTGTGTAGTTTTGTGCTTAACTTCAAACAAACAAACTGAAACAAGGTGGTGGACAGAGCACAGATA